AAGGCTTTTATCCCTGAAAATCATTTAGGATAACCACAATTTACTGTGGTATATAAACTAATTCTTGGTCTATACTAAGATGGAAATGTATTTGATTTGATTTGATTTAGTGGCCCATTCCTAAAGATCATTGTATCCATTTTTAAAACAAAATTCTAAAATAAGAAAATTAGGTTCAATTTGGTTATTATTCCAAATGATAAAATTTAAGATTTTTCTAACAAAAGAGTACAGATAATGGGACAGTTGAGAGAGATGGCTTTAAATACATTCTTAAGTAATCATTTTCCTATTTACTGACCACTATAATAAAAATATATCAATTTATTTATTGAACTCCTGACTGGGGATAATATTTTAAAGATATCTGTTGCACACTTGGATTTTCAGAACTCAGTAAAAGTTACAGGTTTGCATGGTAAGAGTAAAATAAGAATATTGAAACTGGTACATTAGCTCATTCTACTACTACTTAGTATGTTACTGATGAGAAGTTACTGAAATCTATTATTGTCCTTAAATAATAAAAACTGAGTAGAAAAAGAGGAACTAGAGATACATTTTACAGATGTATTTCCTTAATAATTTAATTAAGCAAAAGTGCTAATTGTGATTTTGTCAGATGGGTCTTTTAAGTAGCATTTGCAGCACAATTTACATTTGCAAAGTACAGAATTTCTTGACTCCTTCGCTAAGCAAATACTGTTTTACTCTAATTTTTTTAAAATTCTATTTTGTGTTTTAGGATTATAGCTAATTTTATTATATAATGTTAAATGTTAAGTTATGCTTGATTACTAAGATCTTAAAGTAAAAGCCTGATTTATTTAATTTGGAATTCAAAGACATTGTTAAACTTAGATATTTTTTGTAAGATTATCTTTTGGGTTGGGTCAGAGAGGTTTTACAACTACCAGTGTTTTTAATCCAAGATTCTATGTATTTGAGGGAGCTTGTGAATCCCTTTGAAATTTTGCAGAGATTTTGTATGTTAAATGCATTTTCAGGATGGAATGCTTACATGGCTTTCTTTAAAGGGATCTGTGACCAGGAAAAAAAAAAAAACTTTTAAAATCAAGTAATAATATTCTTTTTGTTCCACAAATCATAGATGTCCTTATATCCAATTGTCTTCTTAATTGAATCATAGAGAAATTATTCCTTTGCAATTTCACTCTCTTGTTGACCACAGTATCCAGTGCCCTTTTCTTTATAGTCTTTTGAGTGAGTTTAAAAAAAAAAAAAGTAAGAAATAAATGATTCTGTTTTGGGAAACTTTTGAATAGATTTGATTTGATGTGAGTCAGGGCTAGTAAAAAGCTATAGAGGAATTTTCTTTCTAATAAGTAAAAATCTTCTGTTTTATTAAGGAAAAAATAGCTACATTTAAGGTAAATAACTCAGATAAACTGGATACAGCAATTGTAAAGTAGAATATCTGTAAATGTAAAGGTGTCTTAAGACTTCAGGAATTTCTATTGAAAAAAGTCTCAAAATAAGTTCAGTGGCAATAATTATACTTAAGTGAGACTGGCTGGTATTCATTTATTCTTTCTTGGGGAGAATGGGAGGCGTCAATCCAGTGCTTTACCCATGGTGCCACCATGGCTATCTTATTTTTTATCTTACAGTTTTTCAAGAGATTTCAAGTCAGCGTAACTAACATGATTGATTTTTAGTTTTTAAAATATTGATTTTTGGGGGGAAACTTTCTGAATCAAAACCAAGTTTTATTTTGTTATTTATCCACAGATTTTGATTTAAAAATGCCTTCTTTATTTTTAAGTTTACTTAATATTGGATTTGAAAATTATTTTGGATGCTTATGTTTTCTAAAATTAGAGAAAAAAAAATGCCTAAATGTTTTACTATGCTGCTTTTTAGATGGAAGAAATAAACAAGCAGTTTTTACTTTATAGTACAAATAAGTTTTGTTCACAATATAATAGGTATTCTACCTAGACTAATACTAAATATACAAGGTAGTGGATTTATTCCTTATATTGCTTTTTTCCAAAAAGTAAAAACCAAAAATGTAGAATTTAAAGACAAATCTTTGAGAATACTAGCAACAGTCTAGAGAATGGAACTTAAATGTTATATATTAAAAGAAGCAAACAGAACTATTAGCTGAATAATAAATTACTCATTTAAAGAGTGTAGCCTACTGAATTACTAGATAAAATAATTGGAAAGAAGTACTTTTGAGATGTTATCCGTAGAAAATAGTCATAATATAATGGGAGAAATGAACAGTATCATTAGAATGAAATAACAGGTGGACACTTCAGTTAGTGAATATAGTATGTCAATTTGACTTACAGAGTCTGTTATCTTTGCACAACTTTTAATCTGCTTTTGTTTCTTGATACTGGTGATGACGAAAATAAAAATCTCAGCATCCTGGTGATAGGAAGAGATTTATACCAAGATAATTATTTTACTTTTGGAAAATGAGATCAAGTATTAAAACATATAATAGCTGTGCACACTTAGAGAATAAAGAAGCTTTATAAAAAAAATTTTTTTTTTTTTTTGAGACGGAGTTTCGCTCTTGTTACCCAGGCTGGAGTGCAATGGCGCGATCTCGGCTCACCGCAACCTCCGCCTCCCGGGTTCAGGCAATTCTCCTGCCCCAGCCTCCTGAGTCGCTGGGATTACAGGCACCCGCCACCATGCCCAGCTAATTTTTTGTATTTTTAGGAGAGACAGGGTTTCACCATGTTGACCAGGATGGTCTCGATCTCTTGACCTTGTGATCCACCCGCCTCGGCCTCCCACAGTGCTGGGATTACAGGCTTGAGCCACCGCGCCTGGCCTATAAAATTTTTTTACAACTGTTTTCAATCAGTATTTTGTCATTACTCAGATAAAACTGAAAGAGAGAAGGAAAAATAGATCAGGGCATAAAAATCAGGAAAGTGTATAAAAATGAAGGTTGGCTAGTTGGTTTAGTCTTTCTTTTTAGCCTGTGAAGCTCATGTCTGTTATTAAGAAGTTAATACAAAATTAAAATCTATTAACTTTTTTTAGGTCACAGTGCAGTGCATCCTTTTGCAGAAGAAAAAATACCAAGTGTTCGTTCTGTCATTAGTAAGGAACACCAGTGAGGTTTCTTTTTTTTCTCTATTTAGGGCATATCAGAATTATCCTTCAAAGTACTCATATTGAAAATCAGATTTATGCTTCTGAAAAGAAGTGTGCTCTTAGAATTAGAATTTAAATTTGAAGGTTGAATCTTAATCTAAGACTTTTTTGTTGTTGTTCTTTAAGACATTTTATATTTTGTGTGAAAAGGAGTGGGCAGAGAAAACTGTTAACTTGGATTCCAGATTTTTATTTAATGATGATAGAGATATGACCTTTGCATTTATGTATATTTTATATTGTTACTACTAAAGAGATCACTGAGGAAATCTTGTAATTGAACTTAAGGAAGTTAGCTCCTTTTGTATATTTATATTTATAAAATGAGTAGCATTATTCTTTACCACTTTCCAGTGAAAAGATGTAAGTCCTAGGACTACATTAAATAGAAATATTATAATATTAAATAATATATAATATGTAATATCATGGGTGTCTGTGTTGGGGATATGTGTAAGAACTAGTCTTTTCAAATATATATATTTAAACCTGTCTTCTATAAACAGGTTCTTGAACCTATCTTTAGGATACAATTTTTGACTGGGATATAAGAAATTGAACATGGGCTGGGCGTGGTGATTCATGCCTGTCGTCCCAGCACTTTGGGAGGCCGAGGCGGGCGGATCACAAGGTCAAGAGATCCAAACCATCCTGGCCAACATGGTGAAACCCCATCTCTACTAAAAATAAAAACAAAAATTAGCTGGGTGTGTTGGCGTGTGCCTGTAGTCCCAGCTACTTGGGAAGCTGAGGCAGGAGAATCGCGTGAACCCGGGACGTGGAAGTTACAGTGAGCCAAGATTGCGCCACTGCACTCCAGCCTGGTGACAGAACGAGACTCCACTCAAAAAAAAAAAAAAAGAAAAGAAGAAGCATGCTTTTCTCTTTCCTTTTTTTTTGTTTTCATCATCAGCCATACTCATGGCTTACCCTACGCATTGTTCCTCTCATCAGCTGAAACTGTTCCTCCCCAATAAGTGAGCAATCTTAAACATTTTTATCACCCTTAAAATCCATTCTCAATATTCTTTTTGCTGAATTTGTATATTGTGCATACTCAACATATTATTTGTTTTAAACTTGATTCCATCCAGAGCATTGTTCTATAGAGTTATCCGGTATTTATCAGAGTTGTGTGTTATTTTTCTTGATAACATTAGACAATGATATAGTATTATCAGTTATCATTTTAATATGATTTAAAATGTGGACGGCAGCCTGCCTTCTTTAATTTAAATCTAGGCCAAGCATGGTGGCTTATGCCTATAATCCCAGCACTTTGGAAAGCTGAGGAGGAAGATTACTTGAGCCTAGGAGCTCAAGTCCATCCTGGGCAAAATAGTGGGCCCCCACCTCTACAAGACATTTAAAAATTAGCCTTGCATGGTGGCACATGCCTGTAGTCCTAGCTGCTTGGGAGGCTGAGGTGAGGGGATCACTTGAGCCTAGAGGTCAAGGCTGAAGGATTGCAGGGAGCTCTCATTGCACCACTGCACTTCATCCTAGGTGACAGAGACCCTGTCTTGAAAAAACATTTTTTTAAATTTAAATCTAGCAGTTTCTAGGCCAGTGGTTTTTTGTGTTTTGTTTTGTTTTGTTTTCAAATCCTCAAAATAGGATTCTACATTTTTAGTATAAAAATTCTACAAGTTAAGTGCACCACAGTGGAGAGAGAATCATACAACGCTGAACTTCCATAACAGTCAGTGGCACAGTCAAATATATCACATGTACAGAACACACAATTTAGATGAACTGAAATTATAAGATCCAATTTCAGAAAACAAAACATTAAGGATCCCTGAAATATTCTTAACCCTAATGAAATTTCACTGGACTCAAGTCATTTGTTCACAGTACAGTTTGCATGATATCTTTGTACAAACATAGCTTAGTTTTTCTGGCACCAAAGCAAATTTGGGATAGGTTCGTGCAGGCAGGGACAACCTATGAGGAGGGCCCAAAGGCACCGTCTACTTTTGCCTGAGGAGATGTGAAAGCAGATCTGTGCTTGAGGCACAGAAGGAGTTTTAGAGCATCCTTGTGAAGGACTAGTTAAAAGACGACAAGTGGGGAGAAGTTTGAGGAAAGGAGGAAATTAGTCTGACTGGCTTTCTGTCCTCCACCGTTGATTCAATGGAGACTGGCAGGAAGAACTGGAAGAATAAGGTTGCAGATGGGATGGGTGGGGCAAGGGATGGAAAGGAAGATGGGGACAACTAATGGGTTCCATTTATATCAAGTAATGTAAATCAAAGACTTAAAGGAGATTAGAGGCCAATCAGAATAATTTGACAACTTTAATTCTTAGGAAGATAAAGTTCCCTCCAAACCTATTTTGATGTTTTATTACTAAAAGCAAAGACCAGTATAGTACAGTATTACTCCAGAAAAATTAAAGGAAGATCCTTAGGGTGGCTTCACCCATATTTGTTTTATGAATGGATACCTCCCCTACTTCAAAATGCTTTAGGGAGGTACTGCTACCATTACATGGTTCTTTATTAAATTTGAAAAATGCCTGAAAGTTTGGACACCAGAAAGACACCCCAAAAACATGTGTCTAAACTGCAACTTCAGGTTAATATGACTAAAGGGGTTACATTGCGAGAGGTGCTGAAGGTATATGATGTCATTCCCAACACAAAGGTGGCCTTGGTTCCTCAGCAGATGGTGTAGCCACCATCTGAACCACCCATGAAGAAGTTCCCCTTCCGCTGAGTTATAAGGCTGTTGGCTCCCTGCATGACTGCAAGCTGGGCAGCATTGGGAGGGCATCTAGGAGGTGAAAGAGGAGTGTTGCCAGTGGTAGCCCAGCTCCAAATCTGTCATCTGCATCATACCCTCCTTCCACCAGCACTATAGAGCCAGCTGGATAGATGGGACTCACTGGATAATAAGCCATGGGGATTGTGGAACCTAAAGGCCCAACAGCCACAGACTGGGCCATGGGAAGATACAGAGAGGCTCCAGGAAATACAGCTGACATGGTGGGGACTCTGGGTGCACAGTGCTCAGATGATAGAGCTCTGAGTAGGCAGGTGGAGCATCAATATAGGGTGGTGCCTGAGGAATATGCAAGGTCTGAGGCATACTGGATTCCCAGGAGGCTGCACAGGGTAGGTTGGCTGTTCATGGTGGCTGTGGGTTCGCTTCATCTTGACATTGCCAGGCCAGTGGTTCTTAATGGACATTGCAGATCAGACTTTCTATGGAATTTATAAATATACAGATATCTAGGCACTGCTTTGGACTTCCTGAATCTCTATATTCTTGGTATTAAAAAATTATGTAACAGGATTATTATTTTATATCATAAAATATTTTCCTATATAGAAATTTGTCCATTTATCTTTATAAACCCTATCCAGTATTCAGACTTATTTGAAAATAGGCTTAATCCTTATCCCAAGACACATTTTGTCTGAAATGTTTGAAATGGCTTTATTATCTTTGTTTTGCCTGCCACAGAAACAACCAAATTTCCTTTCAATTTTTTTTTTTTTTTTTTTTTTTTTTTAAAGACAGAATCTCAGTCTGTACCAGGCTGGAGTGCAGTGGCGCAATCTTGGCTCACTGCAACCTCGACCTCCGGGGTTCAAGCGATTCTACTGCATCAGACTCCCCAGTAGCAGGGACTACAGGCGTGTGCCACCCCACCCAGCTAATTCTTGTATTTTTAGTAGAGACAGGGTTTCACCATATTGGCCAGGATGGTCTCAATCTCCCGATCTCATGATCTGCCCACCTCAGCCTCCCAAAGTGCTGGGATTATAGGCAGGGACTTCAATTGCATTATCTTTATCTTGAACTCTCTTGAGACCATTCACATTTGTAAATTGTAACTAATATTTGTCTCCAGAAAAGTACATCTGTTTGCTAATGTTAGTTCCTAGTGGCTATCAGTGAATATTTTGCAAACTTGAATTAGGTAACATTTTAAAGAATAAAAAACATGACTAACATGCTAAATTTAAAACCTAAAAGTAGATCTCTTATAGCCTTGAAGCTTGTAATCGGAATTTTCCTAACTAAAAAGCATTGGATGTCATGCCTGTAATCCCAGCACTTTGGGAGGCCGAGCGGGCAGATGACCTGAGGTTGGGAGTTCAAGACCAGCCTGACCAACATGGAGAAACTTCGTCTCTAAATTAAAAAAAAAAAAAGCATTGGATGAATTATTTATTACTTCCAATGACGTTTGCAGGTACAGCTTCTGTATGGAAATAATCTTTAATTTTTTATAGGTATAACAGAATAAAGCATTAACATTTAAGATATTTAATTTTAAATAGGAAATGATTTCATTTTTTGTGTTAAGAAATGTAAAGCCATCCTAGAGTATAGGAGTTATGTGATTTTCTTCTGTATAAAAATCTCATTTAATACTGGCTGTGTTATCAGACACTTATCTGATTATAGTAATTCATCAGACACATCTCCTTCCTTCAGTGATTATCTCATTTGCATTTGCCACATGTGGGTGATTTCTAAACACATTGCAGGATTTGGACCTGTAAACCAGTGGCTTTAGTAATAAATAAAAGGACACATTCAATAATATTTACTTTTGTCTTAATGCCCATAATCTTATGAATAGAAAATGCTGAAGAAAAAGAATAAACAGAAAGCTACTAATTCAACAGTGGTTTTTCATGGTACGTTTTTCATGTTTCCTTGGAAGCTTACATTTTGCAAATGTAACAATAATAGTAATAACACAGCTTTATCATTTAAAAAATTACCCATTCATTTTTCAAACTTGACTGTTGGCTGGGCGTGGTGGCTCACACCTATAATCCCAGCACTTTGGGAGGCCAAGGCAGGTGGATCATGAGGTCAGGAGATCAAGACTATCCGGGCCAACATGGTGAAACCCCGTCTCTACTAAAAATACAAAAAAATTAGCTGGACGTGGCAGCGCACACCTGTAGTCCCAGCAACTTGGGGAGGCTCAGGCAGGAGAATTGCTTGAACCCAGGAGGTGGAGATTGCAGTGACCTGAGATTGCACCACTGCACTACAGCCTGGGCAACAGTGTGAAACTCCATCTCAAAAAAAAAACTGGACTGTTAGTGGAGGGGTGTATATGTGTCTGTATGTGTGTGTGTTTCCACATATATGATGACTGTCTCATTATTTAAATTAATTTATAATTATTTTTTAGTGTATAGAGTGATTAGCTGCTTGTAATGCTGTTACAATGTAGCATTGTAATGTAAGGTGAAGAAAAGTTAGGATTTAGGTGGGATTTTAAAAAATTTATCAATTAAAAATAAACTTTTAAAAAGAAGTCTTATTCCAATTGGACCTTTAAAATTTTTATTTTGGTAATAATATATTTCAACTTAAGATGTATGAAAACTAGCAGTTCTCTGGTAATCAGTGTACTAGTCAACATTAAAATATTATTTTGGATTGTCTTCTTTTGGTAACATTTTCTGACACTAAGCAATGTGTTTTACAGTGGGCTGAACATACAAATTCATAAATGTTTCTCTCTATTTTGAAGGAAAAAATGCTTGTCTGTATTCGACATAATTATTTTGCTCTTCAGAATATTAAAGTTATATTAATCAGTAAACACTTTTAATAAGTTGTTCTGATAGGATGGTATCAGTAGTCAGACTTAATTGAAAAACTGTCAGCCTCTTGTTTTTTATATAGGGATTAAAGAGATTAACTATTTTTTCCTTTGGAATTTTGATTGTTTTTCTCAGATGGCTTTTTAATGATTTAATAATAATTTCCTATTTTTCTTCCAGAATTATGGCATGTTATAGTAGATCTTACTATTAAAGATCTTTTATATTTTGAACTGTTTTTTTCTATTCTCCTTTTTACTACTCTAAAAGACTGTGACTGATGAACACCATCACCAAACATTTTTTGTGGCAAACTGCTTATTTTATAATTAGCTTTACATAAGAAAACTTAGAAAACTGTGTGGCTTGTTGGTTCTATTTAGAAACTCTTAACAGGTATGGCTTTCATTCCTCCAACTGTTTGTTTGCTTTTATAGACTTAGAGTAAAAAATTTAGCAAAAAGTAATCAGATATCTGGCTAGACAGGCATTTTCTCTCAGATTCATTGCTATAAAAATTAATCTACTGAGGCATAAAAATATGAAACATATTCAATTTACCTCTTTTGTCAGCTTTTCTGGGACTCCAGTAGCATTTCAGTGTTATAGAGAGTGACAGTGATTTGAATGCATGTAAATGCACATAGTCAATTCAGAGTGAGATAATTGAAAATTCAGAATGACTTGTTTTTTGAAAGTACTTGGAAATTGTGCTGCTACTTAAACATTGAAGGAATTCAGAAAGTTGTATATTTATCTTGAAATGTTCCTTCTCATTCTACTGGAATTGACCATGAAAAAGAAAATATTACACCTTATTTATATCTAATTATTGACTGTGCATATTGTGACTCAGTGGATATTTGTATGCCCCCCAAAAAGGTTTTAAAGTTGAGCAAGTTTTAATAAATATGTGTAAATAATTTTGATTATTATTCTCATTGTAGGTAAGTTACTGTTAGTTTGGTGCAATACATTCTTTCCTTCCTCATCCTTTTAAATATATAAGATGTATGTTTTGTTTTATTACATTAAGCGCTATTTTAAAAAAATTTCTTGTGTGTATATGTGCTAATATTTGATTTGTTTCTGTATAGCACGATTAAAAATAATAATTGAAAATTTTGCACTTATTTTAGGCCCTTGGAAATTTGTATTCTAACACTTTTTAAAAATGTACATTTATTTTGTACATAATAAATTAGCTTTGTATATGAAAATGGGTTTGAATCAAATTTTAAAAATGTTACTTTCTTCAGTTGATTTGTAATTCTCAATTTACAGTCTGATTAGAACTTACCCTTGGCTAAGTTATTTGGGTAGATAAGAGATTGAATACAGTATTTGTTAATTAGAAAATTGATCACTGTTTCTTATAAGACAGGAGTTTATTCTGTCATCCTAAGTGCACAAGATAAATGTCAATTGACTAGGTTTTGTCATATGTAATAACAAATATTTAGCCTTTCACTTTAGAGCTACCTCAAAAACATTGTTACAGGCTAGGCACAGTGGCTTATGTCTGTAATCATAGCACTTTGGGAGGCCAAGGCTGGAGGATGGCTTGAGATTAGGAGTTTAAGACCAGCCTGGGCAATATAAGGAGATTCTGTCTCTGCAAAAAATTTAGAAACTAGCCAGGCATGGTGACATGCACCTATAGTTCTAGCTACTCAGGAGGCTGAAGTGGGAGGATTACTTACTTGATCCCAGTAGGTGGAGGCTACAGTGAGCGAAGATGATACCACTGCACTCCAACGTGGGTGACAGAGAAATACCCTGTCTCAAAACAAAAAAACATTGTTTCAATTTTTCCCTTAGCAAATGATTATTTATATGGCATAAATCTCCATTTGTAGTTAACCAAATAATACATTAGGCTGAATTTGTTTCTTTTCTTTTGCTTTTGCTGCTACACAAATTAAAGGTTGAATTTTTTTAAACTTACATTCTTTCACAATTATAATCTTTAGGGCTAATCATGGTGGCTCATGCCTGTAATCCTAGCACTTTGCGAGGCCAAGGGAGGAGGATTACTTGAGGACAGGAGTTTGAGGCTGCAGTAAACTATGATCACACCACTGTACTCCAGCCTGGACAACAGAACAAGACTCTGTCTCCAAAAATAAATATTTTTCCCTCAACTTTGACAATCTAAATGTTGACCTAATCATTCGGTTTTGTCAAGGTTAGTAGAATCTAATCCATAATAAGTCAGAAGCCAAACTCTGTTCCAGATTCGTTTGTACTTTTGTCTGTAGAGATGAACATTAACTTTTATCTACTAGCACCATCCATTCACTATACTATATTTTATTGAAGACATTTCATTAGAATTGGAAACTTCTTGCATTAATTCATCTGGTAAGATTTCCCAGTCACTGGACAATCAAAGCCAAGTTAGTTACACGCTTCATTAAGACTGGCTAGGCTGGTCCTGAACTCCTGACCTCAAGCGATCCACCCACCTTGGCCTCCCAAAGTGCAAGGATTATAGGCGAGAACCACCACACCTGGCCATAAAACTTAAATTAATTTGTACACTTTTTCTTGGTAACCTGTCTTTTGTTGTA